CGTCCGGAATGGACAAGTTGACGACCTGACCCAGCTGGTAAGCTGAATCTTGGCTGAAGGCACCTATTGAAGCGCTCATGAGGGGCTCCTCATTTGAGGCCATTCATTTCATTGGAACCCTAATATCATGTAATGTAATTCTACCCCTGAAAATGTGACTTGGCCTGTATCTTTTCTTTCTTTTCCTTTTTTGCTTTCTTTTCTTTTCTTTTTGTAGTTCTTAGTTGAGAGTGTGCCGCCTTGGAGCCTGCCATGGATGTTATACTGACTATTCGCAACGCCAGACCGCAAGATGTCCAACAGCTCTTGGGTTTAAGACGACCAAGGAGAGATAGATCTCCACTGAGAAGGCAACGGCCGCATATTCAGATCTTAAGCAACCAGCAACAGGACGCAGTACAAGCTTTGGATTACAGAGCGGAGCAGGAGAGTCCTTCTGCCAGCCACTCAGTCAGCCGCTCACACCAAGAGCCACTACCTCGAAGACGTCCTGATGAGGTATATGAAGGCACTAGAGCAAAGCATAAAGCGAGGCCTTACTCGGCCTTTCCTAGGGTGCGCCGAGCACCAACAACTTCAGCAGCTTCCTCTTCTTCTTTGAGGCCAGAAGCAATGAACCGGCATCAAGCACCTGGTGTTGGAGACATGGGTCCACCTGCAAACTTAGGAGTTTGGAATAGCCCCACTAGAAGAAGCAGAAGGCCCTCCAGACATCGCAGCTCAAGACCTTCACCTTCTCCTTCTCCCTCCTCTTTCCCTCCACCTCCACGCAGACATAGAAGTAGGAGCAGGAGAGGACCTTCCTTGGAGCAACGCATGGAGGCTGAAGCTGATCAACAACGCAGACAAAGACAGATGTCCAGTACCCTGGTTGACACTGATGTCAGCATGCCTCACAACATGAATCAGTATAACATCAATTGAGCAAGCTTTGAAGTGCAAGGATTTCAGCTTCCTCATCAGTCCCCCAACAGTATGTTCAAGCCATTGCCTGTGCTTGCAGGTTTGGTGTGCAGCGTGGCATTTGGTTGGAACATGATTATGGATCAGATCGAGGCCTGTGTATATGGGACAATCCAAACCCTGATCTTCTTTATTCATATTACTTGCTGACTTCACAGGACCTGACTGTCAAGGACGCCCCACTGCCCAGCAGAGACAATCAGATGCTTTTCTGGGCACATGCTACAACAGTTGGTGGCCTGCATTCCATTCTGAAGTTTCGCAACATGGCCCCCATGGAGGCACACAATGTGCCTAACAACAATACGTCCTATGCCATAGGCCACCCTATAAATAGTGGCTCTGAGGATGATTGGTCCATTGCAAGGGTCATCCACAACGCGGCAACCTCTGCAAAGAACGTGGCACAGGTCATAGTCTGTGGGACTGCATGGGGGTCCCTCACAAAGGTTGCAGGGGGATCATGGGTGACCTCTGTCAAGGCAACTGAAGACGACCCAGTCTACCGCGACAAGAATGGCAAGGCCTACGTCATATCGCGCAACCGCTATAATATTGCTGGAGTTGCCTATGCTGCAAACATGACTCCTCCAAGCACGGCAGCCACCCTATTGCATGAGTATGCCCGAGCCTCTGGACAAGACATTGCCCGCTCATCCAGGGCCGCAGCAGCATTGCTCAATCGATGAGGTCGTCCTATAACACTTTTGGCGCTGCGGAGCTCAATGCTGTATCATATTATTCTGACACTTGGATGCTGCCCTGTGCCATCCAACAATCCCTACACAGTCACATGCGGTTCAGGTTGAAAACAAGATGCAGAAGACCGTCTTGCTCATGCATGTTACATTGGTTATTGACGTCAGTGAACCTTGAACATGAACCTACAGCAAGTGCATGAATGTTTTTGGTTCCAGTGAAACTTCGGACTTAAGATTCTCTTTTCTTTTCTTTGGGTTCTTCCTTTTTGTTGTCTTTCTCCTTCTTTCTTTTCTTTTCCTAGTTCTTACGTAGGTGGTACAATAGTGCAGCGAAAAAATCCTTACCATGTCAGAGCCATGGAGCGCACAGTCATGGGCTGCCAGCGGTTGGCAGCAGTCCGGATAAAAATAATTCTACAAGTCAATGGTATGAATCAGAGCACAAGTATGGATATAACAGCCGCCAGTCCACCCTGGGCAAGAATCAAAGTGATGCAGATCTTCCTTCACACATCAAGCTAAGCAAAAATTACCTGGATGAGACTTTGGTCTACAGAAGTACCCTCAAGCGCTATATTGAACCTTCAGCGTGGTCCAGAGCCAAAGGTATTGCAGGCAAAGCAGTACAAGATGTGAAGCTCACAGGCCTGACTCACAAGGGCATTCAGGAGTGGATGATTAGAGGCCTCAGCCATGGAAAGTTCACTGGGGTTGTCCTCACCAAGTCAATTGCGGAGAGCGTCTTCACAGCACGGTTGCTTTCAGCATTGAGAGAGAAGAAGATTGACATTGATGAGACAGTCAAAGCCATGCACAAGGACAAGACTAAGAGAACACTTCCAGACAAGACCAGTGAGGCCACCAAGTTCGTTCAGCCATTGGTGGATATGGTAATGCAGCAAATGCAGCTCTACCTCGTCACCATTGATCAAACAGCCACAGCCCCAAGCTCAGGTGACAACAAGGAGTTTCAGGACATGCAACAGGACAACGCCAAGCTACGACAGAAATTCCAACAGGCAGTTCCAATTACACCGGTGACGCGCAGGTCTACAAAGAGAGATGCACAACCAACAGCATCAAGCCCGGAGGAGGATGCAGATATTGAAGGTCATGATCAGCCGCTTCCAGTGCAAACATCGGCAGGCAAGAAAAGGAAGACAACCAATCCAGGCAAGGGTAAAGCCGACATCCTCAACGAGCCCACAGACGTGTTGTCGGACAATCTCCCCAGCAACATCAACAATACTAAAGCGTGGGTGGCTGCCATACGAAAAGACCTCAGCATCAGCGAACAGAAGCATTTTGACTCCCACGTCAACAAGATGCTCCAGGTCATTGAGGACAAGAAGTTCAAGAAGGATGAGCTGCAGACTATGGCCACGAGATGGGGACTCCCATTCAGCATGGCTAGCACCGCCACGCCGAAGAACCTGCAGAGCATTATTGTGGTTGCTACCTGGCACTGCTTGTGACGCATCAAATCGCTCATCAACACACCAATCAACAACCCAGACCAACAATATGACGAGGTCACCTTCACCGAAGTTGCAACCACAGTTGATGAGCTCCAAGCAGTGATGCAGTTCTTCCAGCTCCTTATCATTGAAGTTCCTAATGTTTCTAAGGAGGTTATGATGTGGCTAGTTGGTTTAATCTTTTTGGTTTTCCTTTTTCACCGTTCGTCTACAACCTCAACAGCGAAAGAGCTTCGCGAACAGCTGAAACAAAAAGGATGCATTCCAGAACTGTACACATTTTCTAGATTTCAGCGAGTCAATGCTGTATATGCCAAAATGATGCTTCCGACCTTCAAGAATGGCTTCGCGCAGTTCAACACTCAGCAGTCCATTATGTACATCGGTTCAACAAGGCTCAAGCCAGCGCAACGAGAATTCAATAGGCAGGCGAAGATAAAACAGTTGAAAGGAGGATCATTGCCAAAAGTGGAATTGGCCATCAGGTATTGGGTGGACAATGCAAACTATGATCGCTTTATTATCCTGGCACTCAGTGGTCACAGTGGGTACCGTGATGCATGGGCCCCCGAACACTCGACTATTCAGTCCTGCAGGCTCGTCTGAACCACCCATTCATCACCAAGTTGCTGGTAAAGAAGACACATGGCCTTGTGCCAGCCAAACACCGACCGTCGATTCAACCAGGCAATGATACACTTGGAGTCAAGCTATTCAAGAAGATGCGTCGCCGCCTACATCGACAACGTTCCCAAGAAGTACGACTGCTACCACAACTTCCGCAGATGTGGGAGCTGCTGTATGATCTGGCATCAGATACGCTCAAGGAGTTCGAGACCAGCAAACTTCTCCGCAGTGGCAAATATCCATCAGACATTGGATTGGTTCTTTACAGACTTGCAAATCATTTGGAATAACCCTGGAGGTCCAAGTGCACAACAAGGCTCAAATTGATTCTTCAATTCAGGAATCAGTCCATCCCCAAGAAAAACCGCCCCCTCAAGATCCCGTTTCTTGCTCATGAAGGATTCCGTACGCAACTACAGCAGTTCTTGCATCAGGAAGTTCGACGTGCTCAACCAGTTCTGATACCATATAATTTACCAACTACAAGACCATTGGAAGCTCCACCTACCAAGGTGATCAAGTTGCTTTGGAGTGATGTCAAGAACTTGCCGACACCAGCCAGTACATGTTCTTGCAAAAACTTTTTGAAGAAACATTGCAAGGCGCACAACCTGGATGGTCATGCGGTCACAGGATTGGAGACTTTGACATTGCCATCAAGCATGCAGCATTTGCAAGACATGGGCGGAGCCAATGAGTAATACGACAACAAAACCAAGTTCATTGAGAAATCCATGCAGACAATGACTCAGCGGATGCAACATCAATTTCCAATATATTTGGGTACGAAACAACAATTCCGACAATTTCTGGAGGACCAATGGCAACAACATTCGCAATCATTACTGCGCAATCCTCGGTACACAGTGGGTGGGATCAAGAACTTGAAATCCTTTATTCCAACAGATTTCGTGGTACACAATGAAGATCACGCCAACAACCACATCATGATGTACTGCTCTCAGGTGTACAATCAAGCAGCAATCAATTCGTGGGCGGATCCAGGTGTATTCACAGAATTAAGCGACAGCCCGGAACAACTTAAAATTCAGATGAAGAAGAACCTGCCAAAATCTCTTTCCAAGCAACAACAGCGGCTGGTGGATTTCAGCAAGGATCTTCCGTATGGTTACATCATGATGAAGCGTAGAAAGCAACGGACCAAAGGCAGAACAATTGTGGCAGATGGATCCACATATATTGGAAAGCTTCTCAAACTTGCAGCATTGGCAATACAGGAGTTGCTAAATTCTACCTGGCCTTCACATTTTGGAATTCGGTTAACACCAACCATTTGGAAAGACATACATAGATTCTTCGAGACAATGGCTTTGGATGACAATCTTGTGCTTTTGAACCATGATTTGGTTGGCTTCTTCAATTCCATTCTCCAATCAACTAGTTTGTCTGCGCTCCAATCCTTGATTCAAGACTTTCTTTCCTCTGGACCGCTAAGACACTTATGGTTGACCTGTATGCAAAAGTTGGCCCTGTTCATTCTGGAAGGTCCAGGTTCAGTGTCAAGGCCAATCAGGTTGAAATCAACATGAAACAGCTGATGGACATCATTCAGTTTTCCTTTTCCTCTGGATGCTTCACAACACTTGGAAAATATTATAGACAAGTCCAAGGCACCTCCATGGGAAATCAGGTCAGCCCTATATTGTCGTCCCTCTCCATTGTGGCGTTTGAGAGAGCTTGGTTACACACTCATTCAACGCTTCTTTCCAAACTTGCTTCCAAAGTTCTTGTCCTGCGTTATCTGGACAATCGTGCAATCTTTATCCATGAAGATCTGTTACAATGTTCTGGGCTACGTGAGTTGGTGAGTCTTGATTTTCATCCAAAACCCATTCAGCTGGAAGATGAAGCACACAACGAATTTCTTGGATTCCGCATCAACCCACTGTGTCGAGAAGTCCCTTACATGATGAAAACGGAAAAATGGAGGTATCCATTACCTTGTTCCGCAGGCAGCCATCAGCTCAACCTCTCAGGCTACAGATGAAGACGACAGCTTATCAGCAAGTTTGTGTTTCCATGGTCGACTAAGTGCCAGCAGATTCAGGAACTTAAAGAGTTGTACAGCTGGTTAGGATTCGATGTCCCACGCTTTTGAAAATAGAGTGACTGCGTTGTGCCTTCCAGTTTCAAGTCGATTGTGTTCCTTGACATTCACTTGCCTACCTTTAGCTGGCTCTAAGGTTCAAATTGTAACAGTTAGGACCGCCATGAAAAAGGTGATTTCCCCTGGAGTCGACAGGACAGGTGAGATGTCCACCAATACGGAAGCAGCCTCATCTAGTTCCGATCAACCTTGCAGATTCAACAATGGTGTCATTGCAGAAATCTTACAAGATGACACTGCGCAAAGGAGATTACTTGAGGTAGGGTCGGAGTTGATGCTTCAACAATATTTGGATTACAATGGATATCTCACCACTAGCGAATAGACAAAGTGGAAGAACATCATCACCAACACCCTATCAGAGAAGTCGTTTAACGACACATCCAAATACCTGATCGACAAACTCAGGGAGCCTTACAAGACGAAGCTGCTCAAGTTTCTCTATTCCAATTGCGGACTATTGGAGACTCACAGATGAGGGTATCCGTGATCATGATGCATCCAAAGAATCTTTGCTTCGTTTTCAGCAGTGCACACAGTTGTGCAAGTTGGCAACTACCACACCATGTTTGCGCGTCTTCTCCTACAGTAGCTGGATCAAGCCACTAGTTGATGTCCTGTTGATTTTTATTAGGTTCTTTTTGGTTTCTTCTTTTTCCTTTCTTTTCTTTTCTTTTCCTTTCTTCTAAGTATTGGAGGGTCTTACTTAATCTAAAACAGCCATGGATCCCAGCAAGACAACAGCTCCTGCAATGGATGATGATTCTGAATATGTCAAACAACCGCTAATGGCCATACAGTCCTGGATGCAGCACACTGAGCGTGAGCTGAAGGCAGTCAGAACTGATTTGGATGCGCACAGGCAGTGTCAGTATAATTCCAATGATCAACTGCACAATCGGTTTGGACGTGTTCACCAAATCACAGTGGACATTCGCAGCGAGATGAAGTACATGCAGTCCCACCTGCAAGATGTCACTGCCAAAGTGCAAGAGATTGACACAAAGCTCGAACAGCAATCCACACTGCTGAAACAACTCCTGGCAGAGCTTGCACACATCAGGAATATGGAGACACAGCCCATGGCCACACAGGTGATTCATGATGACTGACAAACATCATAAGCATTGGATGTCAGATGAGCGTGAAGTCTTCCTAGTTGCGATGCAAAAGAATGCGTGGAGCATGCTTCCGCCTCAATCAGCTGCTGTGTGGTTGTGCATTGTCTCTCAACTTTTTCTTGCTTGATGAAGTAATCGGTTCAAGCTGTTGTCTTGTTGTTTTTGGTACCTGAAACACTATAACGCCATGCTGGGTGAGCAGTTCTACGTTTGGTTGCGTCAAGCCGCAGCCGAGGACTTGCAGCGAGCAAGGGGTGCAATTCAGTTTGAGATGGAGCTGAGGGAAAGCCAATTTAAGACGGCATATGAAAGACATTGGCCGGAGTATCCACTCCCATGCATGCACATTTGTCAGCATGAAGGATGCCAGAGACTTTGCTGCCACACATCAAATCACCCACATCGAGAGAGCCAGCACCAATCTTCAGGACAGCATTACTGCCAGCTTCACTATCCCGACCAGTGACAGAACACATGCAATGTTATCAAAAAGGCGATGGTTTCTTGTCTTTTCTTGTTTAGAGGTTATAACAAACCCGCACTGCGGGATGGTGTGTGTGGGGCCTCCGAAATTCCAAGGAAATAAGAGTTCAGCTGATGATGCTTTTCAGGTTTTGCAGGGGGCAGCAGGGAGTCCACAGT